CTCCCAAAGACGGATCCCTCCTTTCTTGGAACCCCTCTAAGTGGGGTTGTATAATAACCCAGCGCCAGAGGATAGCGTCCTGCTGCGGCGCGAAGTGCTAAAACGTTGGATGTTCGGTATAAAAACGATGAGTGGAAAACATTGACGATAACGAAAACGATGAGGCCCAAAACTTGGAAAAGTGGTAGGGGGAAAAACAACATGATCAACACTTTTCGGGTCAAGCAAATAGGAGTTGGCTCTTAATACAACCCCAACTGGGTAATGCGCGATTGGTCGAGGGATGCTCCAATTAGCTTCCATTTTCTTTTCCATTATCCCTATATAACCCCTATATACTATAGCAGTTTCCGTTCTATTTTCCAGTATCCCAATGTAACCCCAATATAACCATATGGCCCCTGCGGATGGTGTATGTTGAGCTTACTCCTTGCAGGTCTCGGCTATGAGCTGGCTTTTGCAGCTGGGTGGCAATATGGTCGTCTCCCAAAATAAGGGAGACCCCAATATACTATAGTCCTCATTATAGGGATCCCCAAGCAGGTACCCCTAATTTTGGGAAACCCCTATATGTGGCGATAGAATTAGCGAGCATACGTGATCGCAGTGTTGACCCTCGTGTTCAAACGCCTCTGATTGCCAGGGTAACCTGAAACGCTGGGTTAGGAGCTGGAACTTGAGCATCATCACTTCCTTGAGGTCTTGCATCATTAGTTGAGCACACGTTGTAATTTCTGGGAGAATGAGTCGTGTTTCATAGCTTGTGGGACGTCCTCGCAAGTGACGGTAACAGTGACATGGCAATCTCCGAAGATGCAGCAAAGCCGTGGAGACAGATGTAAACTGTGAGCCAGTAAGCTGCATGCCGGGGCAACCGCATGCCTGCTGCGAGAGAGAGAGGGGTGTGCGAAGCCCAGACACGACCAAGAAAAGTAATGAGAATACTCAGAAGACGGAGACTCCAACGCCCGAATGAAGGAAAGAAATAGAAAGAAAGAGAGATGGGAGGCTGGCCGAAATGGCTTTTCTGTTGGTATGGCTTCTCGTGAAGGTATATCGAAGGCGTTCTCTCTGAGCAAAGGGAAGTTCACTTCTTTCGGAGCTGGATTGTGCTTTGGTTAGGGGTGTTGGACACAAGGTAGGAGAGACAGCAATGGATAGCCAACCCTTACTCAACCGTCATTTCTCGCAGGTTAGAGTCCTGCAGGACTTCAATCCAGCACGGAGGGGGTACTCTTAGGGGGAGCATGGGGAGCAGTGGCTGAGCCGCGGGAGCACACACGGGAGTTGGAAATGAAATCCTTCAGATGCCAGTCCGGTCCTCACCGGTAAACTGAGGCCTCGAGGAAGAAGAAGAAGAAGCGACAGAGAGAGAGAGAGAGAGAGGGCAGGAGCCCGGGGTGATCCTACAGGGTCATCCCACAGCCCGCATGAAAGAAAGAAAGAAAGAGAGAGAGAGAAATCACTCCTTAACCTTCCTCGGCTCCATTTCTTTCGGAGGTAGGAAACCCGACCATTTTCCGGCAAAAGAGGAGAAGTGCACCGGATAGGGAGGGGGGGACGGGTAGAAGAAGAAGATTGGTTCTCTTATGTAACAATCCGGTGAACACGAGAGCCTCATTGCGACGCCTGACTGAACCTCTCGCCCACGCAGCATCTCTGATGCTGCATAGCCTATAGAAGAAGAAGAAGAAGAGAGCAGTTGGGCTCCCTGGATGCCCGCATGAGAGAGAGAGCTAGAGAGAGATACTGAGATCCACGTTTCATCCATCGTCGTCCATCGTCCAACATGAGCTAGTGCGGCTAGTGCATTGACCAACAACGGACATTTCGACTGAAGAATAATAAAACTGACCGCATCATGTTTGCAGCTAGACGCAACAGTAGCCAAGCAGGCCCAGCGACCATCGCGTGCCGACGGTTGCCTGATCGCGTTTCGCTGTGCGCGATTCAGGTTGGGGCCGGGCCCAATGCGAGAAGATAAGTTTGCAGCAAGACAGCTAGACTAGGTGAATCGCAGCAAGTATGATGTGCTGACTTGCAAGCATTAAGCAAATAGCAGCTCGTTGGGCAATAGGTTGGGTCCTTCACCCTTTGGCGCCAAGCTGTTTGACCTGAATGAGGTGCAGGCAGCGCCTGGTTGTCAACTTTGACTCGCTGCTTGAAATGGACGACCCGCTCCCTCCAGCAGTGCCACTTGTCATGTCAGCTCGAGGGAGAGGTTAAGAAGATGCAGTTCTGCAGACGTCCTCCATTCTTTTTTGCATCAAGTTGAATGCAGCAAGGATTGCCAGATACGCGCGAAGGAACATTGCAGCATGGCAGATCTGGAAAGCAGGACCACACTCGGAAGTCCATGTTTCAAACAGGCATCAGGAGGGATTGAAGTTTGGAGCAGTTTTTGGTGAGCTGAGCGTTCCACGAAAAACACAAGGTACGGATCAATAAGTTGGCAAAAGCATGGCTCAGTCTGAGGCTTTGGTTGTGGAGCTCGCGCCTTGGCTGCCTCAGTAAGAGAACTGCTTGCATCCAGGCATGTATGCAGATGAACCCAACCGACCAATCAGAATGTTCAAGGAAGACTTGCAACACGGGCTTGCCTTTGTGGTCGCTACAACCCATCTTTACTGGGGCAGCGAGCATGATGACGTGAGGGCCTGGCAGCAACTTGCTTCAGAAATGAGACCTTAAGAGCATCTGATCGCTGTAATGGTCATTACTTGTCCACTGACTTGGCCACTTAAGCCTAAACCCTGAATAGTAGCTTCCATTTTATTTTCCATTATCTCAATGTAATCCCAATATTATACCCCTATATAATCCCTTTTTTCAAGAACCTTGTTCAAGGCTTGCATGTCTGCTGGGGATTGTGGAGCAGAGCTTCGGGACCTCCAAGCCCCTTGCTTTATGCCCTGGACTTAGTGCGGTGCTGTGCAAAAACTATTTTTTTGGGTGGTTGCACCATGTTTTCGTGCAGGTGGAGATCTCAATTCACATCCATGGGGGTTGGGCCACAGGCTGCTGCGCGTTGGGCAGGTCGAGGCGCTGTCGCTCGGTCAAGCAGGATGTCGTGTGAGATTCTTACCTTTGCAATCCTTCGCCAAAGCATGGGCGCTATTGAACATTTAGTCTAGTTAGCATTGCGACAGCCGTTGAAGTCGCAGATGACAGGTTCCCCGCAAGTTCCGGAAGGCCCTGCAAGTTATCACGCATTTGTCAGGGTTGTCGTTGCAATTGATGCCGCAATTCTTTGTCCCGTGGAAGGCAGAGTTCTGAGCACCGCTTTTGCAAGCAGTTAGACCCTGAATAGTAGTTTCTAAAGTTCTTGTCCCGTATTCCAATATACAACCAATACTATACCCTATTATACTAAAGTAGTTTCCATTTTCTTTTCCGTTATCACAATAAAACATTTTCTCTTCCACTATCACAATATAACCCCAATATCCCTAAACCCTAAAACCTAGTACACTACATAGTACTTTCCATTTCCTTTCCATCATCCCAATATAACCTCAACATCCACCTGAGTGTCTGTCACAGACGCACGAGCGCTTTGCTGTGTCAGGTTGAGCGTTTCCTGGTGGATCGAGACATTTCGAAGGCTTCAACCGTAACATTATACGGTTATATTGGGGTTATATGGGGATAATGGAAAATAAGATGGAAACTACTATATTATAGTAGGTCCTATATTTGAGGTTATATGAGGAGAATGGAAAATAAGATGGAAACTACTATATTATAGTAGGTCCTATATTGGGGTTATTTGGGGATCATGTAGTCTCACTTATGTGTTCATTCTTATAACTCATGGCTTCGAGTGTTGTCATTTGACTTCCGCATTAGCACTGTGTGTGTTTTGGGCAGAGTTGGAAATTGACTTTACAATGCTGCTGCAGCTGCCAGACTTTGCTTCATTCAATCTGCTTCGTGCTTTGACCCTGCGCTGCTTTGGCCGATAGTCCATGTTAAGCAGAAGAGCGGGCATAGTTCTACGCGTCCGTGAGGTTACATGAGTTGAATCTTGACAAATCCACGTGCCACAAGACCTTTCATTCGTGAACCTTAGCTCCTCTTTGCTTCCTGTGCCTGAGAGGCCGCACGTTTTTGACAGGTCTAGAAGCATCTAAAAGCTGTGCTAAAGAGGAGGAGGGTGTCTTTATGTGAAAAGGTAGCACGGCAACATTCGTATGCGCAGAAGCCTGTTGTCAGCGCAAACCTGCTTAGTTCGCGCAAGCATCGAAAGCACGACTAAGCTGAGAATGGCAAGAACGCAGCTAGCCACAACAGCCGCAAAGCTTGCGAGAGGCCTCACTCAACGACTCTGTATATAGTCCCCCTTAAGTAGATCGAATATGGGGGTATATGATTGGGGTTATATACGGATAATGGAAAAGAAGATGGTATCATACTAGGGTATATATTGGGGTTATAGTCCCCCTTAAGAAGATAGAATACAGGGTATATGGGGATCTCATTATCATACACCCAAGACCATACTCTATCTACTTCAGGGGGACTATGGTCTTTTTCCCGTACAGGCTGCGAAGCCATTGCGCCTTCTTGGCGTGAGCCTTAGGCCTTAGGATCTTTGTACTGCAAGAGCTGGGAGCAAATATTGGGATAATGGAAAACAAAATGGCAACTACTGTATAGTATATGGGGGCTATAGTGGGATAATGGAAAATGAAATGGAAACTACTATGTAGGATATTGGTGTTATAGTGGGGTAATGGAAAATAAAATGGAAGGGGTTCGTTCTAGGGATTGTATAAGCTCCTAACTTGTTGCTCGCTGGGTACTGTGGTTGTAGACTGTGATGCCCTTATTTTCCGTTATCCCAATATAACCCCAACATACTATATAGTAGTCTCCTTGATTTTCCACTATCCCACTATCACCGCAACATACTACATAGTAGTTTGCATTTCATTTTCCACTACCTCACTATAACCCCAACATACTATATAGCACAGTGTTCCCAAGGTTTGGATGTCATGGTTGAGAAGGAGCCCGAGCGTGAGGACACTCCTGCAAGCTTACTTCCGCTTGTGCAGGTTGCCTTTAGGAATTATTTTCAATTTTTTATAGTGTAACCCTAACGAATTATTGAAAGTTATATTTCTAGTATAGGTCAAAGGAAACTACAGTAGTGGGGTGTGGGGAGCTTGGGACAGATGAAGGGCTCAGGATTTCTTCCTGGGAACGTGTCTATTTGAGTGTCTGTTAAAGCAAAGTTGAGAGCATCGCAAGGACAAGCTCAGAACGCCTTGGTACTCAGTCATTAGGATTATACTACAGTTATATTGGGGTTATATTAGGGTTATACTGGGGTTATATTGGGATACTGGAAAATAAGATGGAAACGACTCCAGCATCCAAACTTTTTATGTGGAACCCATAGAAAGACACCACAATTGATTTGATTCCTCCATTCACTCCCCTGAACCCTAAACCCTGAACCCAAAACCCCTAAACCCTAAACCCTGAATCCCTAAACCCAAAACCCTGAACCCCTAAACCCCTAAACCCCTAAACCCTGAACCCCTAAACCCTAAACACTCGATTGCCTTTCTAAGCTCAGGAGCGTCCTGAAGGCGCTCAAGGCCTACGGCTGGCACAGTCCTCAATTCACGCCCCGCTGAATGATGGAACAGGTACTACTATATAGTATATTGGGGTAAAAGTAGGGTAATTAATGGAAAATATCATGGAAACTACAGGGATTCGTTATAGGGATTGTATAAGCTCCTGAATCTGGAGTGTTTAGGCGCTCATGACTTTTCAAAGCCTCCCAGGCCAAAGTGCCCATTGTAGCCCGTGCCGCGCGCGAAGACCGCGTGCTGGTGTCGGCTTCAAAGAAGTTGCTTGGCATTTTTGGACTACCTGTAGATCCAGTCCTTTCATTGCAGCAGTCCTGTGAAAGGCTAGCCTGTTCGGATGAGATGTCAACTTGTGTAAGAACTTCAACATTTGATAGAATATTGGGTCTTTTGTTGGGGTTAATAGGGATAATGGAAAAGAAAATGGAAACTACGCTATTCTAAACGAGTATATATTGGGGTTATGGTCCCCTTAAGCATTGTTTACCAGTATCGCTTTCTGGTCTAGTTGGCTCGTGCTTTGTTGATCCGATGCTTCCAAGCAAAGGTTGGTTGCTCGTGCAGACGCTGTCGACTGCTCGGCCGAGTTTCAATCCCTAAACCCTAAACCCTAAACCCAATAAATCATAAGCCCTCAAGAATGCTGACTGAGGCCTTGGCATACTTCCTGGATGCCCGCTGTTTCGACAAAGCGTTGGCACGGCTTTGCCTTGCAACTTACCACAAGAAGTATAAGCCATTAATTTCTAATCTCGGATACGCTGCAGGACTGCAGAACATGACAGATAGGGGTTGAATGCAGCAAATGAAATCTACGGGCCTACGCCTCAAATTTGTTTTTCATATTTTTTTCATCCAGGATTTTGTTTTCAGGTACCTGAGGCTGTTTGAGGCGTTCTATTTCGCGTATGTTGTTGGCCACGATGCAAAGGTGAACCCAGGAAATGTTTTATCAGTGGATGATCAATTTGCGAGTTAGGCCAACAGGATTTAATTTGGACTGCAATAGTAGGATGCAGTTTCGACGACAAAGACGACAAAGTCTGAGCCTCCCGCTGTGATAGTGGGAGGCGAGGGTTTCGACGACGAAGACGACATCATCTGAGCCTCGTGCTGTGATAGCGCGAGGCGAGGGCTGGCGACGACAGCGCTTGAGGAGACTGACATGAGAAATTTCAGGTTTGGCTTAGGCCGGAAGGATCTTGTTTCAGGCCTCCGGTCCACGTCAAAGCCCTATGAACATTCTAAATCATCATCAGTGATTCCTGAGGCCCTAACTTTGTTGATATGTGTTCTCGATTGCCCCTCATGCCCTCAGGAACATAACCCCCCTCGTGCATGTCCAACACCAATATCATAGGCGAATGGAATGACATTCCAGTGCGTCTTTCACTTGATCGATGATGAAGCATTTATACAAGCGTCCTCCTGCTATTCCTGTCATAACACCGTCGGCCATACCTTCGGTGAAGTTGAGGATCTGTCAGTGGACATGAACCCAGAGCGTTTCTTCACTCGATGTGTGAAGTGCAATGGCCGGGTATGCCCGCTTGCCAACACTGAAGAGGAGTGAGCTGTTGGTGCCTCTAGATGGGGAGGACAGAAGGCGAGGTTGCGAGGGGGACTGGCCACAATCACTTCCTACACGATGACCAACTAGGCAAGTGAAGAACAGCTTGCAGCGCCAGGAGCAAGACCGGGCCATGGCGTTCGGAGCTCCGACAGACCCTTCCATTCCTCTCTTCACGTGTACCGCTGTTGCAGTTCAGGCGGGGTGCAGCACCCTATCATAAGCTGAATTAAAGCTGCATCTGAGGCAGTCTTTGTGGACAGGTCTACTGGTGGTCGAAGGCCTAGCATTAGTTTTGTGGAGTGGGAGCTTGAGCGATTTCGGCAATGCTTGCAACAGTAGCAAATAGCGATAGATCCTCCATACCGGTGCATCTCAAAGCTTGCTGCAAGGACCAGGGAAGCGCCTCCGCGAGGGCGAGACACCAGGCCAGCGAAGACTTTTTCCATACAGGGCTGCGCGGCCTACCACTATTCTTGAGCAGGGGTACAAGACAGCGGTTTACTCAGTGCCGTTTCCCTTATGGGTGGATCTCGGAAAGAGGTAATTACTGGCAACACCATTCATAGAGGGTTAATGGGAAAAAGTCTGACTCCGCCGGCCAGAGAGGTGGCGGGCAAGCGCTCACACAACCACCGACGAAATAGCCTGAGTCTGCCAGCCAACGAACTACCCTCCCCCCAGCCGAGCAATATACCATAAATGGGTATAGTCCCCCTAAAGTAGATAGAATATTGCTTTGGGTATATTATCATAAGATCCCCATACAAACCATGTTCTATCTACTTGAGGGGGACTCTACCGGTACCCCTTTCCGACCTTTTTCCCCCACCACCCTTTCCAGGGGTTCCTCCGGGTAAGGTAGACAAGCTTGTTGAGCTGGTGGCACAGCTACGTGAAAAAGGCAAGAGCTGCCTGAGCTGTAGATGCATCATATAATAGGAATAATAACAAGAATAGAAATAATGACAGTGCTAGTAATACTAGTAATAATAACAATGTGAGTAATAATCACAGTGCTAGTAATAATGGTAATTTAGTAATAATAACAATCATAGAATGAATAATGGTATATATTGGGTTATATCAAGGGCTGCTTGGCTGCTGATATCTTGGAGGTTCCGGCGTGGCTGTGGCAGAGGACCGACGTCAGGTGTCAGTGTGGCAAGCGATAAGGTTGAGAGAGATCTTCGGAGGGTTATATTGGTAGGTGTATATTGGGGTGTTATGGGGATATAGGGATAACAGAAAAGAAAATGGAAACTACTATTTTATAATGGGATATTTATTCAGAGCTTGTGGACTCCTTACGGACTTCTACCACAGCAAACTACGGCACTAGTCACTGCGGCGCACACAACAAACCTGTAGCAACCCAAAGGTAGTTTGCCAACAGAAGGGGACCCCAATATAGACCTCAAAGTACTATAATCGCTATTATTGTGACCCCCAAAAAAGGTACCCCTAATTTTGGGAAACTACCAATCTGTCAGGAGGGCAGTTCGGCAGGGCAGTTCCTCAGAGATGGTGGCGGGCGTCATCCCGGCAAGTTTGCATCACAATCATCCTGATGGTTCGGAGCCCTGTCCTTGTTATAAAGAGGCCTACGATGGTATATTGGGGTTATATATAGGTAATATACTATAGTATAGTCTAGTATGTTGGGTTATATATAACCTATTTAGGGGTTGTATATAGTGATTGTCATGGAAGGCCTTGAGGTCCAAAGGTTCGCAACCTTCAGCTGCAGAACTTTGGAGAAACCATCAAGCTCATGGATTTAGCGGGGACTTGGGCCTCCGAAGTGGTAAACTCATGTTCCTTGGGTCTCAACGCTCCCTGCTGCTGTCCTATGACCCCTTTGGCGTCCCATCCTCATCATGTGCATTCAATCGTTGCGCATCCCTGATGTGTTCTGATGACCATTGCAATGACCGGGGCTGCAGTGGGTGGCCTCTGTGTGTTTCGTGTTGTTGTGCTGTGTTGTGCTGGGCGTGTCACTTACCGAATTGTGCATTTACTGCAGCGTAGTGGCGTAGTCGGCCTAAATCACAGCTCCCAGAGTCCAGTAGGAACGCCAACCAGCGGAAGCTTGCACGATGCTGAGCTCGCGAAGACTAGAAGAACTTTCATCAATCCAAACCGCCATCCAGAACATGTGTGCACCTGAAGATCTCGACATCTTGCGGCATCTTACTTAGTTCGAAGGGGTGGGGCTTCAAATGCGGGATGGGTGAGCCAGGACTGGAGCAGCCATGGCAGCTCCGATCAGCGTATGAGGAATCTTTGCGGAGATTGGCACACGAAAGATTGCTACCATTGCACTTTCTCGTGCTGACTGTTAATGGCTAGCGATTCCACAGGTCCACCAACAAGGGTCTTGTTGAGAAGCGGTTGATGTGTACCCAGATGTGCTTGGCTGCGCTAGCCAAGATGTTAAGCATTGTTTCCTTTGCTGAGGACTTGGAGCCTTTGAATGAGACAGAGATGCAAGACAAAGTGCTGAGCAACTCGAAGTATGGACGCGCCCTGAGACTACTCCTGTGGTTTTTCTTCATCGATAGCCAAGAAATATTGGAACCGTGTCCAAACCCTTTGGATCTTTTCTAGTGAAAAGCGTGTTCCCGTACGACTTGCTTGTGCTGGGCTCCTTGACTTGAATCGTCCATGGGCTTGTATGGGGGCTTCGTCCGCGTCGGATGGTAGGTATAAGTACATGGGTAGTTTCCCAAAATAGGGGACCCTAATATAGACCCCAAAATCCCATAATCCTTATTATAAGGACCCCCAACATGGTACCTCTAATTTTGGGAAAGCCCCACATTCAGTCTTTCTGACCAGTGTCCTGAAGGGTGCTTGGCAAGCTCCTCTTTGCAGGTTCACCTTCACGATGCTGTGACATGCTGTGCCGCGAGGCTTCCATGGATGTATCGACTACATTTGGTTGAGCCTGGACCTGAACCGATTGTCTGGCTGATAGCATGGTGGCGCCAGCATGCATGGTCAAACACATGGGGGTTTCCCAAAATTAGGGCACCTTTTTATGGGCCCCAATAATAAGGACTATAGTATTTGGGGGTCTTTCTTGGGGCCCCCTTATCTTACGAAACTACCATATAATCCATTATTAGAGCAGTTTCCATTTTATTTTCCATTATCCCTATATAACCCCAATATAATTACTATAGTAGTTTCCATTTTATTTTGGGAACCTAAACCCTAAACCCTATACCATGAGGTCCTGACTTCCACGGGCTCCGACTCCAGCGGCTGCGTTTGCCAAAGTTTGCGGAGCTTGCAGCCAAGGAGGCGAAGGCGATCTAGGTCTAAACCATTTTTGGGGAAAAATATGTTTCCCCCAATTGTTTAGGAACATATTTTTTCCCCCAATTATTTAGTCTTGGCTTGGGCACTGGCAGTGGCCTTTTCAGCATCCACTGGCCATACTATGGCCCCCGTCCCGTGCAGGTGGGCCCTTTGCCGTCCCTGGTCGGCTGGTCCTGGCCTTCCGACCACTGGCCATTAGCGGTGGATTTAGAGTTACGTCAGAAAGGCGAGAAAAAGACTGGTCCGGGGCCGAAACTGCAACTACCTCCTGCTGAATTAAACGTGGTCTCAAATGCAGGAAAGGGCTTCCATGGCTTTCAGCCTTCGGCGCAGACTCACTTGTAGCACATTAAGCAAACATGCATGTCTTCCTTGGGTAGGTACGGCCGCCCGAGTTCTCAGGAACTGCTTTATGATCCGGACTCAGCCTTTACTTCAGCCTGCATTTATCTATGTCACGGTGAGCTCCCGTCAGATCTCCGTATTATTAGGGTTGCCATCCCACAGACTAATCCGAGCTGCTTAGAACATCCTATTACTATTACTATCACTATTACTATTACTATTACTATTATTATTAATATTGTTATTAATATTATTATTATTATTACATATTTTTACTATTACTGTTCTGTGCTGAGGCTAGATGCATCTGCAGCTGGTGTGAGCAAATAGACTGCAATTTTCACAGCTGCTGCAAGCAGCCAGTGTGTGGCGGACTTGTACACTGCAACATCAGACATCCCCGAACCCCGAGAATAGCCAGCAAATAGCATCAGCAGCATGGACCTTGTGAGGTAATATACTGGGGTTATATAGGGATAATGGAAGCGAAAATGGAAACTACAGAATAATGGGGTATACATTGGGGTTATATAGGAATAATGGAAAAGAAAACGGAAACTACTATATAGTATATGGAAAATGCACCAGCCAACCCAGGCCCCGGCTGCTCAGGCAAGTGCATGGCAGCCGGTTGAGGGTTTTTTTGCCTCCTTGAAGATCTGAAATGACTTGATTTTCCGAGTTCGCCGCAGTCAACAGCATTCTGATGTAAGAATTTAGGTAAGTCGGTCAGTCCGGCGCTTGATGGTTGCGCAGAGATGTGAAACGAGCAAATCCTGCAGCGTTCTCATTGAAGCCTACGGACACCACTTGTGAGGCTTGTTTCACCATGATATGGAGGTTTCCCAAAACTAGGGGTACCCTTAAAGGTCCCTTGAATAAGGATTATCGTATTTGGGGGTCTATATTGGGGTCCCCCTATAAGGGAAACTACCATATTCGGCTTTTAAGCTCTCCCTGTAATCGGGCAATCAGTCAGCGTGGAAAGAACTGACTCTGAACGTGAAACAAACTAGGCTTGAATTGGGGTTCAGGGTTTAGGATTAAGGGGCATAGGGTTGAGGGTAGGGTTCAATTAGGACTTAGGGTTTTACCGTCTCTTGGCAGGTTCTACAACCTAACACGCGGTGGTAAATGCTTCTGGCGCAACTGAGCCAGTTCAGTTGATGGAGCTCACCAGTCGGCGCGGCTGACTTACGCCTGTGCTCCGGACAAGACTCTTATTTGGTCGTTAGAGAGAAAAGGTGCCAGGTCTTCCCGTCCCACGTCCCGCAATAATCTTCCGTCAATGACTGTTAGACACCGTGTGGGAAGGATCTGCTGCTCTCGGTTCACTGTATTCATAAGTGAGCAAATTAGGTACGGAGTCCACAAAACCATGAATGTATCACGTGCGGAAAATCAATGGAATCTCATGATGGGACAGAAACAATGAGTTTGCCCATGGCGCTTGGATACCCAAATCATACTTGAAAGGTGAAATCCACTGCTTTATAAATCGAACATGAACATAGTATGTGAGCAATCGTCAACACTTGCACTGTAGATAGTGTCAGGATGGGTCTGGGGAGCTCAATACCTTGTAAGGCGAGGATACCCAGAAAAACGACACTCTCCAACTGGATAATGAAGTGAGTAAAATAAGTGAAATGAGTAAATAAACTGAACAAAATGAAGGAATTAACTCATGAACTTATGAACTCACGCCCACGGTTCGTCTTTCTTTGTGTGAAGTGAACACGTGAGCTATTTTAATTAATGAAGTGAACGAAATAGATTAAATTAAATCACGTGACCACGACACACGAGCTCGCGACCAAGAGTCTGGATCATAGTGCCAAGAAGCCATTAGAAGGATGTCAACAGCTGGTGGTAACTGCTAAAGCCTCGTATCCCAGAGATTATGAAGATATTTCCCTAGAATTAATCTCTATAGATATCGATCTATATATCTCTTTTGCAAGTTGGCCCGAGACGGAGCACTAAGATTTTTCAGAATTTCTAGATTTATTATATCTATTTACGGAGATTTATATGCTCTCCTAAGCCGTCGTATAGATAGATCAAAAGAGATGGGGAAAGGTTGGTTTTGACGGCGGATTGTGCGAGCAAGGGATCGCATGATTTAAAATTCTTGAAGATTCCGAATAATTTCTTTTTCTTTGGTTGGACGCGAACGCGGCGATTCGATAGATTATGAAATTCCAGGGCAGAGATTCAAAATCTTTCAATATAAAATATTTGAATTAGCACGATAATTCATCGGATTTCATTTACGATCTTGATTTTATTTGATCTGGAAATATTTATATTTATATAAGTAACGGAAGAGTCTTAGTCTCCAATAAATATGAGTATTGGGGATACAGGCTCTCTATTTTGAGGATATTAGATAAATTGATGAATAGTTTTGTTTATTTTTTTTTCAATAATACTGATATTTTTTGTGAGAAATTTAATATATTTCAATGACTGCAAATATTATTTTCATTATTTTGGAATTATACAGTAGTTGCTTTAAATTTATTTATACTGGATTTTCTTAAGTTCGGAGAATCTCAGATATCTAGCTCAGAAAAAGAAAATTATCAAATATCTTCTTATCGCCATTCTTTTTCTTCTTCTAATTCTAGAGATTCTTTATCCTTCCAATTATATAAAATAATATTTCTATAATCCTTTTTTATTTAATGATCTGTAAATAAGATTCATTGATTAAGATATATTTTGATTTTATTAATAGAATCTATTCTTCGTTTATTTCGAAGAATTCGTATTTCTTTTTCTTTTTTTTATGAAATTTCAAATTTCTAAGATATTTATTATTATTCTTATGATATATTTCGTATTATTATTTGTCTTTTAACCTTCTAAAAGGGAATATTTGGGCATCAATACGTTTTCGGAATCATGAAATATTTGGATCTCTAGGCCGATATGATCTGGAAAAAAAAATAATCGTCCAATTAATATAATCAATGGCGGGCAATATTTTTCTTGAATTTCTTGTTGCGTATATATCGGATGATGTTTTCTGAGGGATATTGTTAAGCAGCTTCTTGGATTGCTTCTATATTGGCACGTGGGCTTCAAGCTGAATAATCAATATAATTATAGGAGATGCCATTTCGGAAGATTTATTCATCTATTCAGAATTCATTGATATATATTTATATGACGACCTTCAAATCTGATATTAAAACCGAGAATTGAAACCTCAATATGCCATATAAATATATCAGAAATGAAAATATATCATTTCAAATATCTGTATATCTGAATAGGATTCGATCTATTTTGAGCAAGAAAAATCTATATTGATCACGCCGATAGATCATAGATTTAATAAATCGTTTCCTCTATATTTATCTAGATAATTAAAGAAATCTCTATCTTGAATGAATAATTCGTTTCTATAAATCATGTCCTTCAATTGACGATATTTATATGATAATCTCAATAAGATCATATAGAAGCTAGAATCTCGATATATGATTTTTTCCTAATAATCTAGGATCCTATTTCTTCTAATAATGTAAGGATAAATAAATTGAGAGCAGGGATCGTAGCAATCTTTCTATTCCGTCGATTCGTTCTCGAAGACGAATTCTGAAATGAGATAGATATTTCAACGAAATTAAAGTATATAATATTAGATTTGCCAATAATGAAATATCTTTTTCAAATATTTATCATTATGGAGAAATTTCGAAGAAATCATCTAAATCTTCATCATCTAGATCTTGAGATATTTGTCGTTGCATATTCTCCTATTTATGGGAATGGGTAGCAGGAAATCCATAGATTTATAGAATTTTTATGGAAAAGAAATCTATCGTATAAATTTGAATTAACTCAATGATTTTTCTATTGATCGTAGGAATCCCTATCATCGAACTAGCATCCTCTTTTCTAGATATCGTATCAATTAATGAGAAAATTTTTGACGATTTGATCCAGAATCTAGATCTAGGATATAAAATAGATTCAGAATTTATTTTGAGATTTATTCATTTATCTTTTTTCCTGAATCTCCCAAATCTGAATCTCCGTAAATGAGTATCCAAAATTATTCCAATTTTCTCAAAATTAAAAATCAAGATATTCAATTCTTAAGAATAGAAATGAATTTTATATTATAAATCTCTATATAATCGAAAATATATATATGAACTAAGATAGCAATTATCTCCCTATCTCTATATTAGATATATAAGATCAATAATCTAGAATGAAATGCCTTTAGATAGAATTTTTATATAATGATATTATATATAAATTTCTTGAAAGCTATTCGAGAATATAATATTATTAATGTAAGATTTTGCGATCGAATGAAGAATATATATAATAAAATAAATATTATGAAATTTATTTCTATTCGTATTTTCTAATTAATAAATTAATGAATGGAGAATATTAAATAGCCCGAGAAATTTTCTATTTATATGCCTTATTAAATATATCAATTAAAGATTCCCCAATTATATAAATTTCAAAATAATCTTCCTAAAGAATATCAAAATAGAATTTCTCATCGAATATAAACATTGTAAGCAATTAATAAGAAAAACGAAATTTAAATGAATACGAATTCATTCTCATTTTCTTTTTTTCATCAAAAAAATCTATGAGATCATCAATATAAAAGAAGAAAATCGAAGAATAAGAATCAAAATCTATATCCTATAAATATCTCTCTCTCCTAACTTCCAAAATCGTTCCTCGCTAATATAAGATATATATCATTAAATATCATATTCGAATCTCTCTATCCAAAAAATAGATGAAATAATATATCGAATGCGTATTCTAGATATATCAATACGAATCCTTAAAATATTAAATGAATAAATCGATCAAATTTCGTTTTATATATATATCAATAATAGAAAATATAAGATATTCAAATCGAAAATGCCAATTGTTTATATATCATTAGGTATATTATTCAAAATTTTCTTCATCAATCAAATAAATATTCAAAAAATAAAATTGAGAGTTAGAGATCGAATATAAAATAGATATATAAAATATAATTAATAATTCTATATAAATTAGAAAAAATCCAAGAATTCCGCAAGAGGGCAAAGATCATCCGGTCGGATCTATGTCAGAGAAAAATGGAATCTGGCCCGCATCTTTTGATAAACGTATACGCGTCACGAGAAATATTAGATTGAATTCGAAATATAATGTCTTCCGATCTTTCTTTTTCATTCCTTCGTAGCAGCCTGATCACCAGAAGCATTGAGGAAATATCGGAGCCAAGCGCCCGTGATTGCACGCTCCCCAGCCTTGTGCTTAGCTTTGGCGACCCTCGGCGTAGAACTTACCCATCTGTACTGGTATGGCACTCCGCCTTGTCCGTGGGATGTTCAAACAAGATATTCCACTCTGGCCGTGTTCGGCTTCAGGGATGCAGCCGTCAAGAGCCAGAGAGACATGACACCGTGATGCCTTTCAGAAGCATTGTACCTGGCGACAGTGCGCAGGTGCTCTGACCTGCGGATCCTCGGAGGTGGGCTCAATGGGGGTGGTCCCCAAACACACGGTGGAATCCCAACAACAAAGCCATCCTCGTCACCTGCTTGCACTCCTGTTCCATACTTGGGATGGCTGCGGCACAACAGCTCACCGGTGGAAACTCGGAAAAGCTCAAGGCCGATTCCTGCCACGTGCTGGTGGCCCCAGGCGTGTACCAACTCAAACTCCTCATTTGGGTCCTGGTTACTGCCTGCATCGAAATACTCAATGCTCTCGATGACGTGCACGCAATGGTCATATGGTACGCCAGCTGCACACTGCGGCACGTCATATTCGATGTTCGCAAAGTAAGAGGTATTGACCAGGTAGCCGGCTGTGGCATCGCAACAGGATGGTTGCATAGTTGGCCTTGCAACTTTAGTCTCGGGTGAGTCCAGTTCATAGTATTCGAAGGTGAACTTGGCCTCAATCTGGTCCACGGGCGCGTCGGGCCCTGGAAGCTCTTCAGTGAGGAAGACGCCATGCTCACAGCACCTGTACCCACCTTGGTAGGTTGCCAGACTGCAGCCAGTGTTGCCCTCATCCAAGAGCTGCTGGGAGCACTGGAAACCTGGGCTGCTGCAAATGCTACTTGTAAGGAACTTAATTTAAGTTACTATATTGGGGAAATCCTAGTGATTATTATATGTACCCATTATGGTAACTTAAAATTTGCTCAACAGCGACGCAGAAACGCAGTGGCTTTCTTCCATCAATTGTCCCGTTGGTCACGTTGATCTTTGACCGGGATGTGCAAGGGCACTCCCAAAGTTTCTGATCTCCTGGGCTGCTGTTAAGGAACTTAATTCAGGCTACTATATTGGGGAAACCATATTAATTACTATATATATATATTACTATATATATATATGTATAGCCATAATGGTAACTGAAATTAAGTTCCTTAACAGCAACCCAATCTCGTGGAACTCCATGGGTGTTGATGAAGTGCATGAGCACCATGAAGCTCTCTGGTGACTTGACGTCATACCTGGAGGCATGCTGCTGTTGTGAAACTTCGCTAGTAGCCCTAGCGTGTGGCTTGTGCTGGATGGATGTGAAGCTCCCACCGTAATTTTTCTTCCTGGCCCTGTAACAATGACTATGACTATGACAGAGAAAAAGGGCTATCAGGGCACCAAGTCGTCCTCAGAAATGACCATTACTATAGAAGGAGGGCCATCAAGGCACCAATTCGCTGGGACGGATCTGAAGCTACTACTGTACGCTTTACAGAGCAAATTGCTTTTCGTGGCCCTGCAACAGTGAATATGATTAGCATCAAAAGTGCGTTTAGCATAAACCATGAGACCCCAAAGGGAGAATATAATCTTACTCTAGATTGGGTACCATAGTACCCCCAAATAAAATACTACCCAACTTGCATCAAAAGTGCGTGTAGTCGCCGGCCAATCGAGTAGGAGTTCCTCGATACTCTGCTCCGCTGGCACCTGCGTCAGGAAGGTTTGAGGCGTAACCTTAAGGACAGCAAGTGCCTTCTAAAGATGCACGGAGGCAAAGCACCAAAGATGGATGCTTAAGATTTCACTTCACCTCAAAACACCCCATAATACTACTAGTTTTCGGGCTAACCCCTATTATTTTTGTTCCGATTAATAGTGGTAGTTAAGACACCCCACCGTCCAACCCAATGAGTTGTTCTCAAATTTATGGGCCCCTTTTTGGTTATAGGCGATATTGCAGCACCTATCTAGGGATATAGTCCCCCTTAAGTAGATAGAATATGGGGTATATGGGGATCTTATCATAATATACCCAAAGCCATATTCCGTCTACTTACTTTAGGGGGACTATACCATCATGGGACCCCCTAAACCCTAAACCCCAAACCATAATTCTGGGAACTAATTACCCCAATGGCACCTCCAAACACGGAAATGCCGTGGCGGCGGGACTCCGGCAAAGCTTCGGCCAAGATCGCTTCAAAGGAGGCCCGCTTCCTTGGGCTCAACTGACTGACTGTTATTACTGTTATTACTCTGACTAGTATTACTAGTAATACTACAAGTAATTACAAATACTATGATTCTTATTGTTGTTATTCTTCTTACTTTTCATTACTGTTGCTATTTTAACTCTTATTATTGCTGGTATTGCCATTACTACTCTTATTATGTTATTATTGTGCATCATGAGGCGCGACGGGCTCCTACTAGTCATGACTGCCGGCACTCTCGCTGGCAAAGGCATGTGAGCCAGGAAACTGATTTAAGGTCCCCCAACTCCATATGTATTGTTGATCCAAATGCCTCATCTAAACCCTGAACAATTCTCGCGGACCAATCGACGCGCAGCCCCGAACCATATCATAAGACTCTGCGAAACCCTGCCTGAACTGTTCGAATACCAGCCCTGCAAGCCTCGAGCCCTAAAGTCTTCGAGGGTTGGGAGCGGGCTCCCCAAGCCTGGCTCTAAGCTCCTTTTTAGGCCTAGAACAGGTGGGTTGGAAGAACCCAATGTTTGGCCATGTGCCCTTAAGCGCATCTACTAGCAGCCCTCGCATAGAAATTCTGACCTCTACTTCCGCGGCACGAACTTGGGCCAAATTCTCACACAAAGTCAAATTACGAGTCTGGATTGGTGCCATGTCTGCTGAAGCCTGAAGCCTTTCTAGCATGGATAAGCTTTCGTTCATCTTGCCGAACATAGAAGAAAGATGGGAATGAAACAGAGCGCTTCCAAGAGTCTTGTTTGCAAGCATTTTAGCAGCTACTAGAACTGAAAGCCTAGCCACACTATGCAAGTTGGGTTACACAAAAGCTTTTCGCGAGAACACGTCTTACGGCGCCTTTGTCCAAACCTCAAGAGGCCAAAAAATGATGGCCCTACCTCCCATTTGTCCCAATCCAAGGCACATTGCACACCCGCGATGGTGATGGTGCTTGTGGGTCTGGTTTGGAAAGCCCCGCGGGTCAAGAGGATCCTTGTCTTTGGAGTAGTTGTACAGCCTGAAGCTGTCTGGGCATCCATCAAAGCTATATTCTACTATAGCATAATATAGTAGATTATACTATAATATAGTATATTATACTAGACTATAATATGTTCTACTATACTACATTATAGTATTTTGAAATCTCCTGAAGGCACTTCGCAGCTGAAAGCAGCCGAGAAGCTTCATCAAATCTTCCGAGGGACCAAGGAGCAAGGCATGATGGTGGTTGTACGTGATGTACAGTGGTGCCGAAAGCTTTTCACCAGTCTTGTTGTTGACTAGCACAATATCAAGGTCGGCACTCTTCAGGTGCATGGTCTTGTTCGCAAACATTCGCCTGATCAACAGCAGTTGCTACAGCTGCGCCACCTTGAACAATCTGGTAAGTGAATCGTATGTGCATCTGCAGCACAGTTTAGGAGGACAGCGGAATCTGTGTCCCCATTCTCACTTGAATGGAACTCCAACGCAACAGAGATCAGCTCATTAAAGCAGTTGAGAGCAGAATGGTGCTTGCACACTTTTTGCTACTGCAGTGCAATATGATGCAGCATGCCCGTTTGTTCATTCAGGGTCTTGGCGATTGACACTTCCCGTTCACAGCTCCTAATCTGTTTGGAACCACAGCTCTAGCTGGTTTGCTGAGAATCGCGGAGGCACAGCAAATACAGTAGTGGGCCTCCCCTCGTTCTCTCAATTCCTCTTTCCAACTGTAAGTCAAATCGAGCTGCACGATCTCATCGGGCAACTTCGTTGGAAGAACGTATCCTAAGTCGGCTTGGTACATTGCCAGCAGCAAGAGCCTCAAATGACTTCAAGGATACAGCTCCTGAGCGCAGCTCGGTTGTGCACTTCGCCCCGGCGAAGGAATATGGGATCCGAGAAGACAGTGAACTGGCGCAGATTGCCTTTGGCGGCCCCTGATGCAGAAAAACGGGGATGCGGGCCAGCGGAATCTCAAATAGAGTCTTGCTATTTCTCAATATGTAACATCGTACTTGAACAGCAGCTTTTTGTTTTCGGGAAAGCATTGCTCGCACAGATTTCCCTCACGAAAACACTGGAATGCGTCTCAACAGTGTTCTCAGATGACAAGCATGGCAGAAAGGGCAGATGCTGCTGGTCAGGCACACGGATGCATGCATGTTTCTTTCAGTCTCGTGCCGAGATGCGCGGAAACACTATGCGCTGACAATCAACGCGAACCTCACAGAATTTGAATGGTTTGCTGGCCGGCCTACAATCCGCAGGGTCAACGCCCACAACGCCAGCTGCACAAAAATACTTCTCGACATTTCCCTTGGCTACTGTTTTCAGGCACCTGCTTAGATACAAAAGAGCTGCGGACACTTTGCGAGTGAATAACCGTGTGAATAGCTGTGCGTGCTGCTGCCACAGTGAAGGAGAGACTTTTGCCCATAAAGCGCACTGTCAGGATGAATCCATAAAATTGGAACAGGAGGGCTGTATCATTGAAACTTAGCCAGCGAACGCATCGCAGGCTTGGGTCCATCTCAGTGTGGCGTCTTGAGAGACAATCCCTCAGTTAAAAGTTTTCAGATGCTTTCAGAAAGCTTCCTGGTCAAGAGAGAAGCAGAGTCTGTCCAAGCTGGATGACACAGATAGCGTAGGTCTCACAAACAAACTGTTGTTGCATGCTCTGGCTGCTTCATGCTGAGTCAAGAGGCCGTGATTGTCATCTCGGGTCCTGCTTGATTCCATGCTTTCTTGGACTTTCGGCAAAACCAGCAGTATTGCCCACGGTCTCAGTCAGAGGATGCTTGGTCCTTTGCATTGCTGCACCCCCATTGTGCCCCAAGCACTGCATGCAACTATGCATGGAACGCAGCTGTTGCAGTCACTCCCTGCTACGCTGCTACGCTCTTGCAAGACAGCCAGCAGCGTGCTTGTTGCAGTAAGGCAGCACTCGCGTAGTCCGACACCTCGAGCGAGTTCGCTGACTCCCCGAAATCCGTGTCTACTACGAGGGCACCATCTCGCCCAGCCTGGCCCGACTTTTCTAGGCAGCTAGACTAGGCAGGCTTCAGGATTCACGGCCTGTCGCCGCCGAAGCCTCTTCAATTCTTTCCTTAGTCCGGAGACCGCTCCATAAACCGAGCTTCCCTACTTCCTGCCCTCTCTTTACACAGGGTCTCGGCTCAGACCTTGAGCAACAGAAGTGTCCGCCCAGAGTCCGCTTTGCTGTCTTGAACTGCCGCCTCTCCGCCTTCGCAGCAGCTGCGCTCTTGCCTCGCTGCGAGTTGGAGGTGTGCTCGTACCTGCCATCTGGTAATCTGGTCACTAGTGGACACAACTTTTGCTTGGACATTCAGCTCCCCTGCGTCCGATGAGAAACACTGGCTTCTACCTAAACCATCAAAGTAGGTAAACTCATGGCCCAACACCCCTAAAAACAGCCCAAAGGACAACTATTTTACATACTTTAGGGGTTCAGGAAACCCTTAACCCTAAACCCTTAACATTAAACCCTTAACCCTAAACCCTCAACATTAACCCTAAAACCTTAACCCTAAACCGCATGGCTCTGGCTGGGTCAAGAGGGGCCGTATGACCACTTGCTGAGACCATGCCATGGTACGTGAGCATTCCTTTCTTTCGCTTCATCTTCCTCGGCTGTGGGTTAAGGGTTTAGGGTTGAGGGTTAAGGGGTTTAGGTTTTTTTTTATGGGACCTTTTCTCCGCGGCACACAGGTCCACGGAAATGTTATGATAACACGGCCCTGGGCAGTAGCCAG